CCTTTGAATCCCCTGAGCCTATTGAATATCTGTGCAGCAAAAATGAATGCGGGGCCTTTGCGCTCTGCAGCAGCAGCAAGAAGCGTCCCTCTAGATTGCTGCTGGGTCGGGTGTACGACCATCAGCTGTTAGATATGCATGAGTTCTCTGTAGAGCACTTCCTTCCTGCTGCTGCTTTTGCTGCAGCACAAGCACCAGCAGCAGCTTCTGTGCCGCTGCTGCTGCTGCAGGGGGGCCTCTGGGAGGCCTCTCCTGAGCTGCAAGCAGCACAAAATCTGTTCGCAGATATATTTAGATTTGCTGCTGCTCCTCATGACGTCTCTCTTCAGAAGCTCTTCTTATCAGGAATAGACAGATTAATAGCAATAAGCGCAGTACAAGCAGCACCAACAGCAGCAGCAGCAGCAGCAGCAGCAACAGGTGCTGCTGCTCCTCCTGAGCCTGCTGCGCAAGACAGCGATGCAGGGGAAGCTGCAACAACGCAGCAACCAGCAGCAGCAGCAGCAGCAACAGCAGCAGCAGCAACAGGGGTTTTGATTTGCATTCGACAATATAGAATTGTCTTAGTGAAGCCTCAAGGAGGGGCAGACGGAGCACCACCTGCTGTAAAGCTTGAAGAGGTTGGGCCCCAGATAGACCTCAGGTACAACTGCTGCTGCTGCTGCTGCTGTTGCTGCTGCTGCTGCTGTTGATGGTGCTGGCGCTACTGCTGCTGTTGATGGTGCTGTCGCTGCTGCTGCTGTTGATGGTGCTGTTGCTGTTGATGGTTCTGTTGCTGCTGCTGCTGTTGCTGCTGTTGCTGTTGATGGTGCTGTTGCTGCTGCTGCTGTTGCTGCTGCTGCTGTTCTTGCAGCAGACGGGGGTTTCTTTTGCCCTCGTCTGTTTAGAGAAGTTGTTGCTGCTGCCTCGTTTGCTGCTGGTGCGGCTATTGCTGCTGCTGTTTCCGCTGCTGCTGCTGCAGCAATTGCTGCTGTTACAGGAGTATCCTATCTGCTGCTGCTGCTGCTGCAGGCCTGACCGCGTACGGTTGGCTTCGGCTGAGATGTGGAAGTCTGCAGTGAAGACCCTGGAGAAGGCTCGTGCAGAGCAGCGGCAGCAGCAGCAGCAGCAGCAGCAGCAACAAGGGGCAACTATCAAGGGCCCGCTGCAGCAAAAGAAGAAAAACAAAAATAAAACAACGAATGCATTGGGAGATAAACTCGGCCGCGTGCATGTCGGTACACCCGACATGCAGCGGCTGCAGCAGCTGCAGTCTCCTATGCTGTTGAAGCTGCAGCGCAAGGAGCGCAAGATGAAGCAGCAGCAGCAACAGCAGCAGCAGCAGCAGCAGCAAGAGCAGGAAGAGTAGGAGCAGCAGCATAGCAGCACCAGTAGGGAGAGTAGTAGCAGCAGCAGCAACTGGAGCAGCAGCAGCAACTGGAGCAGCAGCAGCAAAAGTAGCAGCAGCTGTAGTGGCAACAGCAACTGCAGAAGCAGCACTAGTAGAAGCAGCAGCAGCAGCAGCAGCAGCAGAGGGATCGGGAAGGAGACAGGAGGAAGCGCAGCATGTGTTTCTGTTTGCTTCTTCTCCCGCTGCTGCTTCAGCTGCTGCTGCAGCAGCTGCAGCAGCAGGGGCTTTTTATTTCTGCTGCTGCTGCTGCATGCATTGGGGGCCCTTTATAAACACCTTGCAATAAACAAAAACTTAATATAATTCTTTTCTTTATGCATTTGCCTGGCCCCTGAGGCTCCTGGATTAGGGTTTAGGGTTTAGGGTTTAGGGTTTAGGTTTAGGGTTTATGCAGCAATAAATATATAAACAGGTAGAAACAAAGCTAGAGACAGAAATAAAGATAAAAAGAGTCAGAGATAAAGATAAAGAGAGACAAAAATAAAAATATAAAGATACAAAAACAAAGATAAAGAGAGACAGAGATAAGGAGACAGTTGGATACAGAGACAGTTGAGACAGAGACAGCAAAGAGATAAGACGCCCAGAAGGAGACAGACGAAGGATTAAGAGTTAAAGACAGAGAGATAAATGCATTAAAAAAAGAAGTAGAGGGCTGCAGGTAGATAAACACAACATAAATATAACATGTCTGCTGCTCTCCTTTGCCTCAGCTGTGTATACACCCTACGGGGGGCTACGCAGCAGCAGCAGCAGCAGCAGCAGCAATGTCGTACAGCTGCTGCTGCTGCAGTGTTTCTGTTGCCGCTGCTGGTACACAGAGAAACTGCTGCTGCAGCAGCAGCAGCAGCAGCAGCAGCAAAACGAACAGCAGCAGCACCAACTGTCTGAGTAGTCAGTAAGACCAGACGACGGCCAAAAGGGAGACTCAACAGCAGCAGCAGCAGCAATAGCAGCAGCAGAAACAGCAGCAGCAGCAACAGCAGCAGCAGCAACAGCAGCAGCAACAACAGCAACATAAATGTTTCCGTCGTACTAATAATAATAAATATGTCTTGTGTTGCAATAACAGTTGGGTAAATAGAAGAAGAAATAATAATAGAAGGACTGCAAGACAGCTGAGTGTAACTAGGGTTTAGGGTTTAGGGTTTAGGGTTTGAGGAGGTAGGTGAGATAAGGGGCCTTTAGGGTGTATATACAGCACAAATCCTATTTAAATAGCAGCGGCGTTCGCAGTATAAATAATAAAGACAATCAAAAAAACAAACAACAATAAAAACTAGCAGCAGCAGATAGCCATCATTGAGGGTTTAGGGTTTAGGGTTTAGGGTTTAGTTTAGGGTTTAGGGTTTAGGGTTTAGTTTAGGGTTTAGGGTTTGGCTGTCGCCGCCTGCAACAGCTCTCCTGCATATTTGTCTCCCCTAGTTTTAGGGTTTAGGGTTTAGGGTTTAGGGTTTAGAGTGCGTTGTGTGTCTGTTTCCTCATTATTTAAAGCGGTTTTCTTTGTTTGCTGGTTCTCAGCCAGCTTGTCTTCAGGGTTTAGGGTTTAGGGTCTAGGGTTTAGGGTTTAGGGTTTAAACCCCCAACGCCCTGATGCGCTCTGACGAGCATCGCACAAAGACAAACCTCCACTGCCGCAGCAGCCTGTGCACAGGTTTATCTAAGGCGATCTGCTGCTGCTGCAGCTGCTGTTGCTGCAGCTGCTGCTGCTGCTGCCTTGTCTCGTGCGGCTTGCCCTTTGCTACAGGGCTGCTTGGCTTCGTTTCTGAAGGCCCAGCAGCAGCAGCAGCAGCAGCAGCAGCAGCAGTCTCCTGGTGCAGCTTCTCTCTTACTGCTTTATAATGCGGTTTCTGTAACTCTACAACCTCCGCGCTGTCTAGGCAGCTAGCAGCAGCTCTCAGGGCCTCAAGCTCGGGTATGTAAGCATCTTGTGTCTCCTTCTCAGCCTTATGGAGACGCCTGCTGCTGCTGCTGCTGCTGCTGTTGCTTCGGGTGTATGCAGCAGGACCTGCTGCTGCAGCAGGAGACAACCCTGCACGCTGCGATGGTGCCTCTGAGGAGTGCTGCCAGCCTCCTGCCCCGCCAGCGGAGCTGTATAAAGGTGTTTCTGCTGCTGCGGCTGCTGCTGCTGCTGCAGTAGGAGACGCAGAAGCATCAGCAGGGCCCTGGGTATTATTATCGGCTCCTGCAGTCTCCACAGAAGCAGGCGCTGCTGTCTCCGCACCGCCTTCTGCACGCTGCTGTTGCTGCTGCTGCTGCTGCTGCAGTTCTGTCTCTACAAAAGCTTCAGCTCTCGGGGTTGAGCAGCAGCTGGGGCTGAGGTGTCTGCTGGGCGTACCTCCAGCTCCGTGCTGCTGCTGCTGGTGGCGCTGCTGCTGTTGCTGCAGCTGCAGCTGCTGCTGCTGCAGCGCAGCAACTAGGCGATGGCTTGCTCTTAGGAAACCCATACGCTTTAGGCGAGCCTCCAAGACCTGAGGGTGTATATTGCACGGGAGCTGCTGCAGGCCGAGCACTTTGAGGGAGGAGCAGCGGTGCAGCAGCTGCTCTATTGTCTTCGAGGTAACTCCTACCTCTGCTGCTGCTACTGCTGCTGCTGCTGCTGTTGCTGCTGCTGCTGCTGGCGTGTCTGCAGCCTCACTAGCAGCAACAATAGACCCCACAAACAGATAACTTAGAGATACACCAGGAAGGAGACGATGCAGACAGCCAACGGACACCTCCCCGCCTACAGCAAGAGACACAAGAGAAGGCAGCTGCTGCGCTGTTCCTAAGTCGGTTATTCTAAACGCCATTGGAGACACATCAGCAGCAGCAGCAGCAGCAGCAGCAGCAGAAGCAGCAGCAGAGGGACGAGCGCCTTGATACTGTGCTGCAGTTGTCGCTGCGTCCGTATCACTCTCGCTGCTGCTGCTCCCGCCGCTGCTCCTGCTGCTGCTGCTGTCTGTGTCGCTGCTGTTGCCGTTGTTCCTGCTGCTGTCCCTGCTGCTCCTGCTGCTCCTGCTGCTCCACTGTCTCCTCAGTGTGCTGCCTTCTTCTCCCCCTCTCTTTTTCTTCAAGCGCTGCTGCAGCTGTCCAATTCCTAAGTGCTGCAGGCGGCACGCAGCAGCTCCTGCTGCAGCAGCAGCAGCAGGAGCAGCAGCACCAGCAGCAGCAACAGGAGCAGCAGCAGCACAGAACGGCAAAGGCACGGGGCCGTCTACACTCAGAACTTCTAACTGCGGGATATGCCGAGATAAGAAGGTCCTCAGCAGCTCTTTCTCAGCTTCTTCTAAGTTGCTGCTGCTGCTGCTGTTGCTGTTGCTGCTGCTGTGGTGGTGGTGGTGGTGGTGGTGGTGGTGGTGGTGGTTGCCTCCCTCTCGGCCTTGAGCCTTACCCATCCACCCAGCACCCTGCTGCTGCTGCTGCTGCAGCTCCTGCGGCTGCTGCTGCTGCTGCAGCTCGTGCTGCTGCTGATGATGATGGTCCTGTGGGGCCGCATGCAAGCAGCAGCAAACATCAGTTAGGCAGAGCCGCCTAAGCGAAGGCAGCAGCAAATCTACGCCTGCGACAGCAAACACCCGAGCTGTTCCTCCGTAGTGCTGCAGCTCTGGCAGCAGCAGCTCCTGCCTCTGCTGCTGCTGCTGCTGCTGCTGCTCCTGCTGCAGCAAAGCGCCCTCTTTGCCAGTGCTGCCATTCAGGGATTCAAACGAAGCACTCTCTGCTGCTGCTGCTGGTGGTGCTTCACCTGCAGCAGCAGCCGCAGCAGGAACAACATCAGGAGAAGCAGCAGCAGCAGCATCAATAATATCCGCCTCCTCCGCAGCAGCTTGAGGTGTCTCCTGCTGCTGCAGCGGCTGCAGCTGAGATGTCTCTGTCTCCGTTTTAGTTTGTGCTTTTGCTTTAGTTTGTCTCCCCTTTACGCGGTGTACATACAGCTGGCGCAGGGAGCAGCAGCAGCCCTTAAGGGCCTCTAATAAGCTGGAGATATGTATGGTGGTGCGCTGCAGCAGCAGCTGCTGCAGCGAGGAGCAGCTGAAGAGCGGCAGCAGCAAACTGCATCGTTTTAAATGCAAACGCAGCAGCTGCGGCAGCACCAGCAGCTGTTGCTGCAGCAGCTGCTCCTGAACGCCTCTGCACTTGCTGCTGCTGAGAGACATATACGGATGCCTCTTTGCTGCCAGCAGCAAAGTAGCAGCTTCTTCTCTTTCATCTTGCTCCTCTTCTTCTTCTGCTGCTGCTGCTGCTGCTGCAGCTGCTACTGCTGATGCTACAGATGCAGCAGCTGTAGCCTCCGCTACTGTTGCTGTTGCTGCTGCTGCTGCTGCTTCGAGCTTCTCTGCTGCCTCTGGCACGTCCGACGCTGCTGCGCCTTCTGCTGCTGCTGCTGCGGCTGCTGCTGCTCTATTCGCTTCACCTTGCTGCTGCCTCCAGATCTCGCGCGCAGCCATTGCTGCTGCTGCTGCTGCAGCAGCAGCTGCAGGCCTCCCCCTATAGCGGTGCATATGCAGCAACCCCGTCATGGTGTTGGATAGATACAAAG